TGCTCTCAAATTTGCATTGTTAATGTTCTTTCGTCAATTCTTCTACACATATTAATTATGTATATTATGTTATGCCTATACATTTTTGTTTTAAAATGTATTTATTGTGTGTCACAATATTGTTATTTTATTCTGTTTTGAATAAGAGAAAATGAAAAGKAAACTTTTTTTTAAAAGTAGAATAATGCTAGTTGACAGTTGTTATGTTTTATGCTAACGAAAAACATAAAACATAGAAAACTGAGCAAATCGCTTTTATCGCCATAAACCATAGTATACCTACTTAACGTTTAATACAAGTATAAGCATGGTAATATATAAAAGTAGATCATAAAATAATAGTAAACTAACAGCCATGAACTCATTAATTAGAGATAAACATTAAACAATTATTCAAAATTGAATTGGAAATTTCTATTAAATACACGTTTACTCTACGCCTATGTTCATTATATAATGCATGACAGCTGCAAAATACTAATCTAATAAACATACTTGTCTATATATAATATAATATACAAAGTTTCTATCTAACTACGTTGATCCCTATGWGCTTTTTCAACCTTCATAATAATAATTAACAGTGATGATAACGGGATTGTATATTATTGTATTATTATAATATAACACGTGAATGCGAGTAAAAGTTAATTCATGGTGAGCCCACCTCAACATCGACCAACGCATTCCTGAAACGTCTCATACGGTTTAAAACAAAATTTAAACTGTTCATAGCCGTGAACCACGGTATTATGTCATTTTCTTTTTGCAGATAATCCGTGAAGCTCATTGGTATCTTATAATTCAGCAGACCCGCTTTTGCCAAATTGAACGAATCGTCAATCAACTGAGCTCTGTTGAGAACGTGTATTTCTTCAAATGAATCGTTTAGCTGTTTGATCAATGATAACCAATTTTCTTCTGTGTAGTTTACCCTGTAGAAACCTAATGCAAAAATAAATAAATATGTTATACTATATCATATAATAATATGATCAATGGCTTAAATCGAGCATTTGAAACGAAATGTATAATGAAAATTATAAACAATAGATAATCTTTTGCAAAAATAAAGTTGTCCACCTGTTGATTGTATATTGAAAATGTACCATTCGACGTCATCGTCGATCGGGATAACTGTTTCATTTACCGACGGATTCAGCCAAACGGTAGGTGCGGACTTGGTGTCGAAATTTTTTTCTTTATTCGTCGTGTAACTCAAACGTATAAACCACTTGGATTCATCATTTGACTTGGTATAACCGGATAAAAAGCGTTGCTGAAAATATAAATAAATAATTGCTTGTTGTGATACTCGCAGTAAGTGAGTTGATTCCCGAGACCTACTTTATGTATTAGTTGATTCCCGGGTCATTTAGTTCGAACATCACTTGTTTGAGAGAAGTGTTACCATAGTATAGGTACTGGTAATCTCATTAACAATTTTTAAATACAATGTGTTATATATTTTTACCAAATTACTAAATTATTTTAATAATAATTTTTAATTAAAAAATGAAAAAAAAACAACAATTTCGAGAAACTTGTCAAACAACCTCCTCGTGGTGTTTATTAGGTTACGCTAATAGGCTGAATATTTGACTAAATAGTAGGAAAAATATTT